AGAAAAACAGTCTTATAAAATTTTCCTATTATATGGTATTGACATTATTATTAAAAAAAAAAAAAAAACATAACACTGGTTTAAACCAAAATAAAAATTATTCGGCATTTAAACCATTCATTTGAAATGGTTTACCGGGAATTATCGTTCCTATTACTACACATTTAGTAAATGTACATAACTAAAAAGTAAATTTAACCAAATAAGTGGTTTTTATGCCATGTTCTAAGGTATCATGAAATAGTTACCAAATTTTACCACATTTATCAAATTTTATCCCACGTTTAAAAAAATCTTATTTTATTGTTTATTTTATCGAAATAATTATTAAAGCACTTTGGTGAAAAGTACAGAGATTTTTGGTGTTCCCCTAGAACCAGAAAAACGGTAAATTTTACCATTTTCGGCAGTTTTGACCATACATTTTTTACACTGTTCAAAGTTTACTTTTATATATTTAAAGCTTATATAAAGTACAACTATTACAGCGTACCATCCATATGCTTTGAGAAAATCAGCTTGTCGATTTATTTTTAAATAACGTTTTTCAGTTCAATAAAAATTTTTTCCAGACAAATGCTGTCATGAAATGTACTATATTTCAGACAATAAAACTGTCTGCATTGGTGGAGTTAATAGCCAAAGCTAATCCTTGAAAGGTCATTTACTTTTATGTGTCTGTTAGAAAGAAGATATAGAAAACTGAACCATTCATTCATACTTAACTATTATTGTTTTCTTGTTTTACTTTTTTTTCTTCAAATTACGCGATAATCAACTATAGTAAGAGGAAGCTTATTAATTTGTTAGCAAACTAAGTTAACTAAGTAAATTAAATATTTAAGCACATTATTCTTACTCAAACATTTACTTATTCAATTAGTATTGTCAGCAACTCAGATGTTAAATAGATATTTATCCTATTTAAAAACAAAGTGTGTGTGTGCTAGGAAAAAAAGAAAAAGTTTATAAAGTAATCAGGAAAATTCTGTGAAAACTTTGAGGAAAATAGCAATTTTTTTTCCTTTTAATACCAAGGACAAAGTGACCACATCTATTGTTTTTATTTGCTAAAAGCTGAGCATAATACTATAATTTTGAGGACAGTTGAATCTCATGACAATGTTAAAAAACGGGAAAGCGTGTGTAACTTTCGACTCGAAAAAGAGAAAAAAAAAAGTTGCACTTTTTTTAAATATTGAGGAAGTATGAGCACACATGATCGGTTTTGTTTGGAGAAATGGGTATATATTGACATAATTTCAGACATTTAATGCAATAATTTCCATAGAAATTCAAGATTGAAACTATTTAATGAAATGACAGTGGCATACAATGATTTTATTTAACATTTTTTGCATAAGATTTCTTATCAATATTAACTGTAATTGCACGTATTTGTCTGTTTTAATTTTATTTATTACATACTTTGAAGGATTTTTATATTATATCATTACTGTTGTTTTTTCTATAGGTTAATGTTCATTATTGATTTGTATTTTTAACTATTGATTTGTATTCTTGATTTTTGTTTTAAATTATGAAAAAAATATTAGTAAATTATTTAAATAATTGCAAAACAAAAAAATTTCGTACTAACATAATATTGTGTGTTTATATCGTTTTTATCTTTCGAAATAAAGTAATATGCTTATAGAAAATTGTGAACAAACTAACAAATAAATAAATAAGAACACAGTTAATTCGTGTTTAAGACTGGTTAGAAAAAATTTGGTATTAAGCTTAAAAATCTGAAATATTTTGGTGAATAATTCAAGAAGTTTGAATAAATATGTTGGACTTGGGGCAATGTAATGATGTGCTACATTTTTAAATTGTTCAACAGACTGTTTTTGGTGAAAAGTACCATAATTTCCACATAGACAATGAAATATCACTGTGTGCTACGCTCTTATCTGGTAGAAAATGCGGAAGCATAATTATCTATCTGGATATTCACTCTTAGAAAATCGGTTCAACACTGAACCATAATATCAACTCCTTGCGCAATATTGCGGTGCAAACTTTCTTCAATTTTTATAAGGTGTTAAAATGAACCATAAATCCGTTCAAGTTGAAGTATGACGTTGTGCAAGTACGATAATATGGTTTTACTCAGTTCCATATTAAGCTGTAATAATTAAGAAAAGTTTAATGTAAAAACGTAAGCTTTTAAAAACAGTGTAGCTTTTATTATATTTTTCTAAGCTCTTCATCTGCACAGAAAGCACTTTCTTTTACGTTCAAGTTTAAAAATTTTGATTCTAAGCTTTAATTATTTATTTATTTATTTATTTTTACTTAATGGCCAGAACTTGAAACTGAAATTCAGCTTAACTTGTTTACGTTTCAACATTTATAAATCTATAGTTCGAAAGGTTTTCAGACCAATCATATGGAGACCTGCAGAGGATTATGAGATATTTCACCTTTAATGACCTCATAATACGATATAGAGAAAGCCAAAAGATAAAAAATGTCATCACCGTATCTCAGTATAGCTCTTGTTTGAGGAAATAGTTTTTAACCTTAATTTTTTACACATCTTTTCAACCTTGATTATGCAAGTATTCTTATTTGACCTACTGATTGCATTGGCAAAGTCTGGGGTTTATATTGTTTCTTTAAGATAAGTAATTCTCATATTTGAAAATTAAGTTATTCAAAAATAAATTATAAGTTGATGGAAAAAAATTGTAACGGTATTTCGGGTTAATATGTTTTATATTTCAAACAATGAAATAGAATAAAAAGGTATTTCTTTAATTATTTATATAAAATTATCATGAATCAATGTTTTGCATTGATTTAAGTACCGTATACTAATATAAATATAATTCAAGCGTAAAAAATTTGTTTAACGTTTTAAATTACTAAGCCTAAAAGAAATTGATTTTTACAAATAGTTAATAAAAAAACCATCGTAAGCCTATTTAGAGTTAATGTGTCAATTTTTCAAACTCTGAAGTGAATTAGAATAGTATTTCCTTAAGCATTTATACAAAACTGTCATAAATCTATATTTTGCATAAATTAAAATATGAAATATAAATATAATTTAAGCGTACGCCAAAAATGGTTTAATATTTAAAAACACTAAGCCTTAAAAATTGTTTTCGATTCGATAGTCAATGACAATCTTCAAATTTAAAGAACAAATTAAAAGATTCGAGCATGATAGGAACGAAATTTTCATAAAATCTGAGTTTTGCATTAATCCAAATTTGAAATATACATTCAATTTCACCCCAAAAAATGCTTTAACATTTTAAATTGCTAAGCATAAGAGTAATTATTTTTTATGAAAAGACAATGTTCATATTAAAATGAGATACTCAGGTACTGTAAAATTTGGCATAGTAGGATTTCGAGCAAGAGCTATAGTGAGCAAATTTCTTATAAAATAAATGAGAGTAATTATATCATAAGAAATTATTACGAGAGAGAAATAATTTCATATGAATAAAATTTATTTCTATTGGTTCATATATAATAATTTCATTCTTAGATATTTGTATTTCAATAGAGTAAACAATATGTTACAACTTGCAGCTCAGTCGACTCTACACCTATTAAATTTAAATTTATTTCCTTAAATGTTGTGAAAAAAAAGATGTATTTTTTCCAAATTAGTCCATAGTAATAAGGTTCATTGTTCTCTTGATATTCCTGATGAAAATTATTTTGTCCTTATTTTTTTTAGATTTTTTTTCTCAAGATAATCCTGATTTTTTTGTGTTCAGAACATCCCATTCTCTACGAATGTAAATTCGGTATCGGTTTTTAAAATAATTAATTTTGAATAATCGAAGGGATTTGTATTTTTAGAACCAACGTCTTTTTTATTTTAATTAATAATATTAGTAAAAATTGCAAACTTTGGTATTCAAACTTAGGGACTATTCGCATGGTTCAAGTATATAACCTTAGTCGCACGATTCAATACTTCAAACTTTTTGATAATGCAATCATTTTAAGAAAAAGAAACTCAAAAATATTACATGTCTAAATTTATATCATAATTAATTTAGGGTTCATACTCTTATTTATTTTTTTATCTGAAAATCTAATAAAAAATCTTGTAGAGTGGAGTTCTATACTTTCTGAAATATTGATTCGTGAAATATTGTTCTCTTTCATTTGATTTTAAAAAAAATAGCTTATTCCAATTAAAAATACAGTATCATATCGTTGAATTTTTAAATGGTGAATTGAGAATCATGCCCTAAATTAATTTTGTAAATCAGCATTTTCACTGTTTTTTCTTCGAATTTATAGAAACCCTACTTCAAAATAATTTAATTAAGAAAGCCTTAAATCGGACTACAATTTTTAATTAAATATTTATATGAAGGATAATTGACTAATTGAAACTGGCTACTTTTTAATGCGATAGTATTCTAAAATTTTTTATTAATTGATCTCAAATTATTATGAGTTGTTCAGTGTTTAACAAATAAATTTATTCAGGATTTGCTGAAACTTCCTGCTCTAAACAAAGTAATTTACAATATTACAATAGTACATTCATTTTTTTTTGCTGTAAAATTTGCCTTTATTATACTTAAGTTAGGCAAATTATGCTTTCCTTAGTTTGTTTGTCCATTTTAAAAGTAATCTGTGTCAAAAATGTCCTGAGTTTTTCTTTGGCCCACTACGGAGTTTGATAGCAATGACAAATTCACCTGGTTATTTTTATAACGAAAGCATATGCCTAGATATTTCTTGGAGGGAGGGAATTGCATATAAAATGAATAAAACTTTGCATTTGGATAAAGTTTTTGAGCAAATTATAACATTTATTTTAATTTTGTGCAGATTTATGAGTTTTTAAAACGAATATTAATAAATTATTGAAGAACCAATCTTTCAGAAATAATCTGTATTTTCTTCAGCGTTTAATATAAAAAGAAAGCAATTATGAGATTTTTTGTTTTATTATTGATAATGACTTGTTTAAATTTTTAATAATTCTACTACAACTTTTCATCTGTTTTCAGGGCAATTGGTTTCAAGGGAATGAAGAAAATTTATGCGAAGACGAGTCAAATGTAAGTTTATCGCAAAATTTTTTTGTTTCATGTAAATTGTCTTATTTAAACCCATTAGTGCCAATAGTCCCGTTTTTGAGACGATTCTAAAATTACATAATGTAAAATCACGAGCCGTGGTGGCTTACACTCTCCACCCAATGAGATGACTCAGATTCGGATGAATATGACTGGTTGATACAAATTCTACTCCTGTATCGTAGTGATTACAATGCAGAATTAAAATTTTCTTAGTAGTAGACGGATCATGAATTTCTTGCATCATAGTGTGGAAGTTTAATTATTTTTGTTAGTCAATTTTAAACTGCTGCACGTGAAAGTTATTGTTTTATCTTTATCTGAATCCGGTTTGAGTTTAATTTGAAAATTATTGGTTCGAAATTTTTTAATTAATGTGTAATGTTTCAATGGATTTAGTGAAGTTAAAAAGTTTTCTGGTCGAAATCATTATTTATTTCGAATTTGAATCCAGCATGATTGTATTAAACAACGATAAATATTAAAGAAATTTTAATTTTTATTATAAAGTTTAATTGAATCATCTGTCTTTTGCTGATAAAAATTCACCAGTTTGTAAAATTTCCCAGAGTAACACTACTGAAAATAAAACCAAAACTGAAAACGAAAATCGGAATTGAAAACCACTTCCGATTCTTTTGAGCTATGAGACAAGCCTCACGGAATTTCTGCTTCTGATTTGTTTTGAAGAAGCCAAACCTCCGAATACCGACAGTGAACGATGTTTCGTTCCGGTGAAGTTAGAGATGGAGAACGGTCCATTAAACTTTCGTATTTTGCCACGAATTGTTTTCGAATTTTGGAATATGTTTTAACTATAGATGTCATCAATCGAGGACGAGAATTACTGCATAATCCATTCACAAAACATGTAAATATCTGTGCAATATGTTTATTTTGAATATTTGTTTCTTTTAATTGTTTCTCCGCTTTTAAAATGAGAATTATGTTAGTTTCTTTTGAATAGTTCATTTTTATATGCTGTGAACTACTATCAAAATGTTTAATATAACTTAAATCATCATTATGAAAGTATATATTTTTGAAAAGTGTTGATCGCAAAACTTTTATAGGCAGCAAGTTGTGTTGAAACTACCAATGACAATATAACCAACATGCTTAAAGTTCCAACTGATAATCAGTAAGTACATTCATATATTTTTCATTTGAGGCTTTATGCTAATTTATTTTCATTGTCTAATGCCATGACCTTTGACTGTCAAATGATTTTCATCAAATTGCAACTGTCCTTCAGGGATTATGAACTTAACAGTTAACGGGAGTACTGTTAACTGTCAAAAATAATATATCTAAATACCAATTCAATGTTTTCATATTGAAATAACAATTATCTTCCTATAAAGATTGTAATGAATTTAAATTTGAGGATGTCTAAATTTGAAAAAAAAAATATTAAGTTTGAGTTTCATGTTAATCAAAATTGTTAAAAAAAAATAAACAAATGAAATAAGGTGCTTAAATTTGTTTGGCAGCTAAGAAAAAATACAGAAATTTGAAATATGAATTTCGGATAAACCTATCTTCATTTGACATAATCTGTAAAGATTACTAGTTAGATTAAAAAAAAAGGCCAATTTCTTCTTAAAAAAACTAAATTTTTTTCTTCCTTTTTTTTTATTTCAAGCATTTTTTAATAGCTGGATTTTTATCTCCATAAAAGTTGTTGCACTATATTAAATTTGTATGCCAATTTTCTTTTGTAATTTTAATCTAGTTTAGCTAAGAGAATATTAATGAATTTTAAGTTCAGTGATATGTAAAATTTTGAAAAATTAATCATAACTCAATCATATGATGCTAAAATTTATATAGTAAATAAATTTTAAACAGCTGAAATTTATTTGTTTGAAAGAGCTAAAATCTTTTAAAAAGTTTGAAAAGTATTGTATAAACAGAAGTTTGATTAGACAATACTTTATTTTTTGTTCTTGTTATTTTCACAAAAATATTAAACTGCTTTCCATGTCAATCACATTTATAAACTAGTAAAATTAGGAAAGAAATAATATTTTTTTCTTTCAATGTCAACTTTCTTTTAAAGTTTATGTCGCCCATGTAGAAGAAGTGAAATAAACTTTTCAATGAAGCAAGAGTAAATATTTAACTGTTTAAAAGTGTAATCTAATTTAAATAATAGTTTTAATGTTTTAGCAATAATAGAATAGTATTTTTTTATAAAGAATTTTATTCCAGCAAGATAATTAATTGTATTCTAGCCTTCTTGGAAGATATGAAATTAAATCTCCTTCAATGAAGCAAAATCAAATATTTAACTGTTTATAAGTGTAATCTAATTTAATTAGTAATATTAATAGTAATCAAGGTGATAGTAATAGTAATTTCAAGCAATAATATATTAGTATTTTTTTAAATAATATATTATTTTTAAATATTATTGTAATTTATTGTAAGTGAAAAATTGGAAAAAAAATAAATTTAATAAAATCCTTAAGAAATTAAAATAATAATGTTTGTTGTTCTAGAATATTTTTAATAAATGAATTGAGTGAAACCTAATTTTATAATTATATAAAAGAACTGTTGAAATATTGTAATTAAATTTTATCAATACTACTAAATCACCAAAAATCATAATAAACATACACAGTGTTACAAATCATATGTTAAATTCGCAATTTCAAAAAACATTTTAATTTTTAAAATCAAGTTATGCAAGAGAAGTATAAATACTCTAACAGGTTTTTAAATAATAGGATATATAGACATAAAAATTCTGTTAAAAATTGAAATTAATAATATGAAAGTAATTATTATTTTTTTTCTATAAATGTAGATGTCAGAAACTTCTCTCTGATACTCTATGAATTTAATTTGCTTAATTTTAAGTTTTTCTTAAGGAGCATTCTCATTGCCTATTTTTTGCATGCTTAAAAAATGCATCCAAATGAATTGATGAGTTTTTCTTGGCTGTATATTTTTCACCAATCAGGTCCTCATTCACATTAGAAAAAAATTGTAGCAACGTTAATGCTCCTTTATAATACTTAGTGCTAAACAGTTGTATTGGCCATTTTTGGTTTTCAGTTTCTTCTGGTATTTTGCAATTTTTTTTCAGTATCTTGAAAGAAATAGGACAAAATGCTAATTTTGAGTAATAATTACATGAATTTTTTTTTTTGGTTTTCTTTTTGTAGTAACTATTATATTCTATTTGTGAAAATAATGATGTATTTTTTTTTATGTGCTCTATGATTTAAAAAGTATATCACTTCTTTTAATTTTTTAAATTCAAATTATTTGTTTTAAAAAGTGTTAAATACATTGAAAACATATTTAGTATAATAAAAAGAATATAAAATAAATTGGTTACATGTAAATAATTACATGTACTTTATTTTGGTTTTCTTTTAATAAAAAGTATATTCATTCAATTTATCAGAATAATGAATTCAATTTTATATGTCAAATAGTTTTTTAATGTAAAACACTTTTTAAACATGTGAATTCAAGTCATTAGTTTTAATATGTTTAAATACTATAAAGAAAAGGGTGTTTTATGAAAACAGGCGTATTATGTTAAAAAGAACACTTAAAATTTGTTTAAAAATATTTTTAAAACATCGAAGTTGAATTTTTAGCTGTTTAAAAAACTGCTAGCTCTTGATTCTTTAGTAAGGCTGCAAAATATAACTATATAATCATTCAAAAGTAATAAATTGTTTATTTACTTTAATTGTAATTAAAATGTTTTGATATAAAAATTAAGTGAAACATCATTATGTGTTTCACAAGAATGGTAAATTAACGTGAAAGAATGTATAGTTGAATAGCAGTAATATTTTACAGTATGTACATTGAAAATTATTGTAATAGTACAGTACAGAACCCGTTATCCGGAAATTAGAAAACCGGAAAATCAAAAAACCGGAACGAAATTCAATACATTTTCCCGCCATTTTTTAAAAAAAAAAATTTTTTTTCCTCATAAGATTTCAGGATTTTTCTTTCTTTTTTGAAAGATGTTTACCTTACCATCATTTTGGAAATAATCATTAGTGTATTACTTCATTCTTCTTGTGTGATTCTTCCGCGGATTTCCGCTTTTTTTTCAGATTTTTCCATTTCTCCCGCTGATTTCCGCTGAAATTTTTTTTTTGCACAAGTTAAAATATTTTATGAGGAATTAAATTTTCCGTGAAGCGAAAGTATTTAAGTCCTCATTCCTCCCTCAAACATTGATTTTCGTATTTACCTGATTTAAAAGTTGAACGTTGTGATTCTTAATCAAGCGATTTAAATGTCCAACTACTCTCATCCCTGATAAATTCAATTTATTGAAATTTTAACAATTTAAAAATTTTTTTAAGGGAGAAAAATAATGTATAGCTGTTGTTTTGAATTGATTATGCTTATGTCAACAAAATAATCAGGGCTATATTGAAATGAGATATAAATGAAGCAAATATTTTTTTATTGTGCATTTAAAATGAAAATAAAATGATTTTTAATTATATTTATAACGATCCAAGTATTTTAAATTGTACTTTTTTTAGTACCGATTATACAATATGATTTTCATATGATAATGAGTTATAAATAAACTTAAAGATTGTTTAATTTAAATGACATGAAACTAGATTTACTGATCTTTGTAAAATATGTTTCATTGAATTGTGAAGTTATAAATTTTTTTTTTTTTTTAAAGTGAAATGCTTTTATCTTTTTCAGAAATGCTTCCATTTTTGATAGATTCTGCCACCAAATATCATTCATTATTCATAAAGAGAAAGTAATTACATATCCAGATGTTTCTGAAAAGGTTTTGGTTGCAGACAGGTAATTATTAATAATATTAATTTATATATTAAAGGTAATTATTTACTAAAAAATATTTCTGTTTGATATTGTGTGTATTTTTAACAATGTGTTGTTTTACTTTTTCTTTTTATTTCTAGTATTTAATTAGTTTTTAGATAATAAATGGTTATAGGGTTGAGTTAAAACTTTCCATGCCTATTTGAAAACATTGCTTAAGGGATTATAAAACTCTTGTCACCAAATCTTCAGTTACAATTGCTTACACCTATTGGTTATTGCTTGCCATTGTTAGCCTGACTTCAGACTTATAAAAACAGTCTCCTTGCACCAATAGCCTTAAAAATGCTCCAGATTTATATCATTTCTGTCTAGAATAGCTTTTAAGAAATGAAAAAAAAAATCTTTTGCCATTAAAAGCCAAACATAACTTGCCTGAATTTGGACCCAAATCTGCGAGCAGCTTTAGCTTGACAATACATTCCAAATAACAAGTTTGTAGAATTCAAAATGAAAAAATTGAATTATTGATCTTGTGACCAGGATGTAGTAGAGGGAATGGCATACCTCCATTGGTTTTTAAGCAAAACCATACTTAGTTAATTTTGCAGTGTTTTATTGGTTGTAAAATTTGTGAATGGTTAATATACAATTTCTTGTAAAATATTTACTATAATATTTTTTTCTGTAAAAGTAGGCATAAAAGTAAAATTCTATCATTGTTGCTGCTGCAGGCATATTTGAAAGAAAATACATAAGTCACCAACGGTTTACATCCTCATTCCTCCTTTCATTAAATATAAATAAGAAAAATCTTACTTTAAAGTGCTTACAATTTATAGAATTTTAAATCAAATACAGTTAGGAGCAAAGATTACAGAAAAAAAAAAGGGAGGGAGAAAATATAAAATAATTTGCTATTACAACTTTGTGAGGTTAATTTCCCTAAATCTGGCAGTTGTCTTAATGTAATATTGCCATGCTTAACAGTTATTGTTACGTATTATTTTATTGATAAACAAAAAAAAAAGCTTTTTTTCTTTCTTTAGTGACAGACAATAGTTTATCTTTATGTATTTTAAAAATAACAGAAATAGATTCTATTATTCTAAAGTGCTTCTAATATAAGTTTGTGGTTTCTTAGATATTATATATTATAACTGTAGGTGTTTTGCATTCTAAAGTTAACTGTGCTAATTTTTTTTTTTTTTTAAAAAAACAGGGTAAAATCTGCAATCAAAACTTCAGTAATGGAAGATTTAAAAGGTAAGAAGAAAATTAATATTTATAATATTCTTAATGATAAATTATCTTGTGGTATTTTTATAAGCAATTTAATACATTTTTTGAAAGCTGACTTTTTGTTTTTGACTTGTAAACTTAATATTTAATAAATCTTTTTAAAATATAAATGTTAGTTATAATAATACAATAGGAACACTTAATAAATTTTGAAAAATGAAAAGCTTAAGTTTGTTATACTTATATATACATATATATGTCTATACATATATATCTAAATCTATATCTATGCACAAAGTTCTCCCTCGGAATAAAATAGGGCAGGGTGCTTCCTCACAGAAAAGGGCACTTTGAATTTTGAAAGGGCACTCACTTAACATCGTAAAAATTTATCAAATTGTGTAATATTATGTGAAAACTGAATTTGATCCTCCACAATTTTTAAATTACACTTTTATACTATTTTATGTATATATTTCGAAAATCAATTTTCAACACATTATCAAAACAGGAGAAAAAAATTTTATTTATAAAAATAATTAAAGGCATGTTAAAAGACAATCTCTGAGCATAATTTTTTTAAAAAAAATTTTCAAAAAAAAAGTGAACTAAAAAGGAATGATTAATTGATAAACATCTTGGAAAGCTTTTTTCTATAATTTAAATTGAAAATTATGAAAAAATGAAAATTTAAAGGGGATTTTTTTATTTAAAAAAAGGTATTTGTTTCAATAATTAAAATTTAAAATCACTTAAAAAAATTCATTAATATATCCCTCCCTTGAAAAAAAGAGAAACTTATAAAAATTTAACCATTTGAGAATAATCTTAACAAAGTAAATATTTGTAATAGTAATCAGAATTAAACCTTTAAGCCGAGATACTTTTACCAGTGTGTAATTAATATTTAAACAGTGAGTTATTTATTTATTCTTTTTAAATGGAATATGAGTAAAAAGGCAGTATTTTTAAGTGATGGCAGCTTACTTTTACAAAAAGGGCACATTTACAGGGAACAAAGGGCAGATAGGGTCGGCCGCCCTTCTAAGCGTGCTTAGGGAGAACACTGATATATATATCCTTTAAAATTTTTGTTTCTCCTTATGTCTTATTAACATTTGTTAAAAAATTTTTTCATGATGTTTACCAACTTATTAAGCATTATAAATAAATTTTTTTACATCTTAAATTTATATAACATTTTGTTATATGAGTGTTGTATATACTTTCTATATAGCTGTTTATGGATAGTTTTCTAATTGATAATTAGTAATTCCTTCCATCAATAATAATTAATAATTCTTAATTTCTTCGTTATTACTTAAATTTTTTTTACATTTTAGGTCATGACAATAGTTCTGATATTATAGCTGCTCAAGTAACTCATAAGCAAAGAGCAGTTCATGTCCTTCATCAAATGAGATCATGCATTTCATCATTTTTACTCAAGTATGCTGAGTTTTATCTATTTTTATAATTATTATATAATATTAATTATAACTTAATTTTGAATATATTTTTCAAATTTTATCTTGTTTTATTGTGTTGAAGTAATTCATCTCTGATTAAATTTTTTTTTTTTTAGAATTGCTGCCTGGGTTATGTATAAATTGTTAGGAAAGATGCTTGATGGTATTGAAGTACGTAGAGATCAAGTTGAGACTCTCAAAAGAGTATCTGAGGTTTGTAACTTATTTTTATTTTATTTAAATTCATTGCATTGATTGACTATTATATCTAAAATATTTCTGTTTAAAAATATTTTTCAAACAGAAACACTTACTTAAATTTGAACTTATGCCAGATATTGAAAACAAAAGTAAATATATATTTACTTTTACTATATATATACTACTATATATATATATTTACTTTTGTTTTGGATATCTGGCATAAGTTCAAATTTAAGTAAGTTACATTCTACAATTTAATGAATTTTCAATAAATTATGATCCAATTGTTTTAGGAAAAAATTCCAATTATTTACTTACCACTTCATAGAAGTCATCTGGATTATATTCTTGTTACTTTCATCCTTTTCATGAATGATATGAGAGCCCCTTTAGTGGCAGCTGGAAATAATCTGATGATACCCTTTTTTGGGTAAGTAAGCTGTTCTAACTATTAAATCGCTATCATAATTAATTATCTTTGACTTGATTGTGTAAGCAAAATAAAGTGTCAATTGTTAATGATTTTTTGAAGAATAAAATAAGAAAAAGTTTATTCATTTTCAACTCATAATTTATTTCAGCTCACTTCTAAGAGGTCTTGGTGCTTTTTTCATAAAAAGGAAGTTAGATCCTCAAAATGGACAACGTGATTTTGTGTATCGAGCGATTCTTCATACAGTAAGTATACTAGAGTTTGAGAAAACAAAGTTGTTTATAAATATAATTTCCTTAAAGATAACTTTTATTTTATTTTAAGTTTAAAATAAATTTGTGGATTTATGTTTAAATTAAGGTTGTAGTTATCTTTTACCTATTTTTTAATGTATAAATAGTTTATTGATATTAAGTTGTTGTTTCCTCAATATAAAAGTAATTAAGTTTGAAATGAATAATATAAAAAAAATGTAGTACACTGTTATTTTGCTTATTGGAAGATTTAAACATAAATATTCGTATATAATAAAATTTAGGCAGTAATTTATATGAAAAAAGTTGCTTACAAATGATGCACTATTTTGCAATCAGCTTTAGTTGAGTTGCTGTATTTATTGCAATAAAACATAGTTAAGTTAACTGTTTCCATTCCTAGCATATCCTTTTTTTCTCTGCAAATATAGTGCTCCCTATTTCATTTGTCCATCTTGAAGCAAAAGTACAAATTATTAAATTAAGATTGTTCACTGTATGAAAGCAATGTTAATGGTATTTAAGCCTTAAAATTTAGTGGAATCTCTTTTTCATATAGTAACAAGTTTTATGTCCTTATAAATGTATGCATATGCAAGTTTGATTACAATATATAATTTTCCCTTTTTAGTATATGGAAGAGAGTTTGAAAGCTGGGCATAGCTTAGAATTTTTCATTGAAGGTGGTAGATCTCGAACTGGAAAAGCTGTTTTACCTAAGGCTGGGTTGCTCTCAATTGTAGTTGATACCCTGATGTCAGGTAGATATTCTTATTTAGATAAAATTTAGAAGATAGTGTGTTATAATTTTAATAATTAAAAGTTATGTGAAAATATTTTTCTCTTATTATTTTCTTTAAGTTCATAATCTAAAATGGTATCTCAATTTCAAATAATTGATTCTGATAGAAAATTACTTGTTTTTTGAAAACCTAGTAGTCTTTCAATCACTTTCAACTAAGGTCCGCATTAACAGTTAAAGGTGTAATAAATACAGACCTGCCANATTTTGTGTAAAAAGGTCCTATAATAACACTTTCTGTATAACACTATGTCGAGTAAAACACTAACTCAGAATTGTAAGGTCATGCAGATTACAATGTTGGCAGGTCTGTAAATAAGTATCTTGCAAATGTCCCTTAATTGATAATAATTTTATTTTTTAAAGCAGTGTTTTTAATTCACACTATTTTAAAATATGTTATAAACTTTGTTGTTTTCTTCATTAACTCTATTTATGGAGACCTTTAACCCTTCACAATTCAGTTTTGCTAATTTACCAAATTTCATTAAATTGGAAATAAGAAAAGATAACCCACTTGTTGTGGAATTTGACCAGCAAAAGATCTTTTTTCCTCATAAATAAAATTTCTTGTTGCCGTACAAACTATGCTTTTTATTGAATTCTTAACGTAGTATATTTGGAAAACTGCATTTGTATATACAAGATAGGACTTTTTATTTTCCTTCTAATTTAAGAATATATATAAATAATTTTGTCCATAGATAAATATTTCATGCAGGCGTAAATATCTTTGTGTAAAAAATTAAGTAAATATTACTTGCTATACAACATAAAACATTTATTATATTTATCTTTTGAGCAGTTGGTAAGTTTATTTTGTTTTGGTTTTTTAGTTATTTGCTAGTTGTTACATATGATCAAAATTCAATATTAAAATGGAATAAAAATTAAGGTTTACATAAATTTTATTAAATTTCCCTCATAATTATCTGAAATTTAAATTACTAGATTATATACCATTAATAGATTTCTTTTAGTGCAGATATCTAGACAGTATAGATAACCATTAAAAGATATTTTTAACTAGTTTTAGAGTAAAACCTTTACTCTTTGGTTGATACTGCTTGTAGCATAAAAGCTGTGAAAATTAAAATCGGCATGATTCTGATTAAGTATTGTGAGATTTTAAGAATCGGCTGTGACACTTTTGTTGTGAATGTTACCGATTTCTTCAAGCATTTCTTCATCTTGTTAAAGCTACTTGAATTTGTTAATATTTTCTTAAGTTAAAATATTTTTATGCGTGCCTGAAACATGATAGACTTTCACATTGAAATTGAAATATGTAATAAAATTAAAATGCGGAAAAAATATTTTTTATATATTGAGTAAGGAACAGAAGGAACTTGTTATTATGGTTTTCCTCATTTTTGGAACTTAAATTAACCTCGATCGGTCGTTTCTAAGGGGACTATTCATTGCATATAATAGATACGGGAAAACAACAAATGTGAGTCGACAAAAAAATTTCAAATCATGGCTTGATAACACATGAAAAATAGTAAAGAAATATTGGACTTGAAAATTAATAAATTTACAATAATTTAATTAAAAATATTGTGTACTTAATGAAAACTTGTTTACAGTAAAGGATGCTGGAACAATGGATTGAGGTATGATTGTAATAATAAGAGTTTAAACCTTGAGAATACTTAGGCCCATAAAATAATTTTTAGCCTTTGTGAAAAAGCAAGCATTTATACACAGTCAACTCATATATGATTTACATGCAATATGTCATGCAGTGATAGGATGTATGGCATTGTACAACTGTCTTGTAAGCCTTTGCAGATTCTTTCTTTTCTCACACTGTCTTGCTTTTGATGTAGTTAAACTTATACTAACTATGCTGTTTTCAATCTTGAAAATCTTGTTCTTATGCAACTTTATTATATTCTGTCTATAGGAACTATTTTTGCTTTAGGTAATCTTAAGCTTTTATGGGAAAATTTCTTATACAGAGGGTATAGTTAAAGGAATACTAGTTTCAACCCAGTTTCTAATAATTTATTCATATCAGCTGTAATTGAACAATATAAAGTACTTAATTAATTATTCCACTTTTTTATTTTCCTATTTTTTATTACTATAGTATTATGTTTCTGAGGGGAAAAAAATCTTCTTAATTTTACTAGTGATCCATTAAAAGTTGTAGAATTGTTTTTCACTGTAGTAAATTTATTCTTAGGAGGAATCAAAGATGCATATGTTGTACCCATTGCCATGAGTTACGAAAAATTGCTAGATGGAAACTTCATATCAGAACAGTTGGTATGTATATTCTATGTCTTATGAAATATAAAATATTGCTAATGATAAATATTATGTAAGAAATATTGTGTTACCTGTGTAAAATGATGAGTTAAAATTAAATTATATATAGAATTACTGGCATTATGAAATTAATCATCAAATTGATGTTTTGAATGAAATGTACATCTGTAACAATGGGAATTTACTAGTTACTGAATATTGCTGTTTGAATTATTTTTCTTGCAATTTATTAGTTTCCCTCCTTAGATTGGTTTCCATGCTTGGAATAATTAAGCTTATTGAAACAAAAATTTATCGTATTATGTTGTGACTAACTGTTATTATTCTGTGATATTTTGTCATAATAACACCTCAAAACTAGTTAAATTGGGCAATAGTTGAAATGAGCATTTAATTTTTTTAATGTAATAAACATTTCTTCCAGCTCCAATATTACTTTGACAGTAGTACTTTAGTACTTTTTGATAGTAAAAATTTAATTAAATGCTGTTTAATTAATAATGTTACTTCAATTATTTCCTAATTATAAATTTTTAGGGAAGGCCAAAACAAATGGAAAGCTTTACAACTGCAATAAAAGGTATTTGGAGAATATTACATTCTAATTTTGGGACAGTTAGAGTAGATTTTTGCAAGCCATTTTCCCTTAAGGTATGTATGATTCTTTATTTATTTATTTTGTAAATAGCTAATTTTATGTTGTTGTGAAATTAAGATTTGTTATGTAATTTGTTGATCTGTAATGTAATTTTTTGTATTCTCTGAAATTTTAATTTAAGCTTTAATCATATTTAAAACATAAAATATATTTTAGTACTAGAAGTAATTCCTTCATAATTTAATCAGAAGAATTCCTCAAGAGCTTATGATATGAATTTTTTATTTTTGTTTCAAGAAAAGCTAAAATTTTATTATTTGAATATATTTAATAAATTCTAAATTAAATTTTGCTTCTGAAAGATGTCTAAATCGCAAATAATCGTGATTTAATTTGTACTTTTTCATTTAAAGTTATTGTGTAAACCTTTCATTTAATCTATTGTTAATTAAATTGGTATAATCAGAAAAAATCTGCGCTATTGTTAACTTTTTAAAAATAGTTTTCACATATAATGTAAAAATGTATTTGAAAGTAGGTTTTTGATTTAGTATCTAAATACATTCTTGTTTGTATGTATAAGTGCCTCTTACTTAAATTTACATATACAGGGTGCAGCAAAAAAAAGGACAAAGTTATTGCATCATTGAATACAAGTTAACTAATTTCTTTTTAATTTGTGTGTTCATTTCTTTCTGTCACCCACTTTAATTATAAAATATTTTATTATATATTGTTAAGCTATAATTTTTTTTTCATTCAAAAGAAATGCTATTTTAAAAGTTTTTAAGTAAAGACAGTGTGAAATTATTCGTTTACTCTGTACAGTAATCTCTTAATCTTCAATCTCTTTAGGAACTGCTTATACATTTGCATTAATATTTGAGCTCAATGTGTACTTGATTTAAATGATGAAATATTTTATAGGAATTTTTGTGTGCTGCTGAGTTTTCTTACAATTCTCCTGCAACTGCATTGCAACCATCATTAGGGCATCAGAATCAGCACTTTTTTAACCACAATATGAAATCCAGACGAAGATCAGAATATGGAACAGAGATTGTGTCGGAAGATCATAGGCAGTTAATTAAGGATCTTGCAGATTACATTGTTTATGGTAAGAGCTATGATGTCGTTTTTTTGGGATTATAATATCTTATAATGATAAAAATGGTGATACGAGTGCTACATTAGTTATAGGCTTTCTTTGAAATCTCTCTAAGCATCTTTAATATGTTTTAAAAAATTGGATATTTTCTAATTTTTCGGGGCGGCTTTTAATGTGTCTGATGAGTGTTATAACGATTTAGTGATACTCAAACTCATTTCTGAATTATATTCAAAAATAAAGTTAAACTTTAAGGGTTTTCCTTTACAATTTAAAATTTTATATGGGTATTTTTCAAAACAACTTTTTTTCAATTAATTGTAGCTGAATTTAAAATGATTTCAGAATAAAACTAAATTGTCTTCAGACAATTTACATGTCACTAATGAAGAGGAATGTGACAGGTAGTTTGTGCAATGAAAGAATTTTTTTATTGCATTAAGCGCTTTGATTATCATGAAAATTAGTGCATACTCTAATTCAGGGCTGTTTGGATAGTTTTAGGTACTATTTTGATATTTATATTAGGTCCAACTGAATACTTGTACTTAACTGAATTAAAGAAAAGAGCATTTTTAGTGAGCATCAAGATATTTTTGATCTAAATTTTTCTTAAACTTTTTTTGTTGAAGTGTAAGATTTTCTGTTTATTAATGATTTTATAAGATACAGCTGGATTCAGCATGCTTTGCAACTTTACAATGACCTTACTTGTTCTGTGTGATTGATCTGAAATGATTGCTCACATGGTGGTTTATCATTATGACTAAATTCTCTAAGATCTTTCAAGTTTTGTCCTACATATTTTAGTCATATGCTGTATTTTAGTGAAAACATGTAATTAGAACAGTACCGGTCTTATTTCACAAAAACTCAAACTTGATTAACAGGTTTAAAAAAATATATAATTCACTTGAAATATTTATCTGTATATATATTTATCTATATATATTTATTAACTTTAAAAAATAGTACCTGCATGTGATGGTATGCAGGAGTTAATTTTTAGTAAATTAAAAAGTGGGAAAATATTTTCAGAAAAGGCCATATGTAATTCAAACTGACATTAATTGAAACTAAAACTTATAACAAATTTGTGTGGAACCTTTCACTTTAATAGTTGTATATATCACTTTTTTGTTTTCAGTGTAATTTTTTGTTTTCTTCTGAAAATAGTTTTTATTTTTTGTAATCTTCCATTCCTTTTTTTCATTATTAGATGCTTCAAATGCTTATTCTCTGATGTCTACAAATCTTTTGGCTTTCTTGTTGTTGACTAAACATAGGAAGGTAGGTTATTTTTATCCAATCGCATGACATATTTAGTAGTTAGAGTAATTTCTTATTAACTGCAAAAAATGTTCTCGATATTTCTTTTCGAATATTATCAACTGTTTTTTCAATCTTCTCTATTGTTTGTTATTGCAGGGTACTACCTTTGATCACCTAGTAAACAGCATGAGCTGGTTGCGAGAGGAAATCTCGAAAAGGAATAAAACTCTCAATTGGCACGGAGACTCTGATGAGCTTGTTGTAAGAGCTTCTAGATTATTAGGTAGCAACCTTGTACATGTAGAAACTGTCCAAATGGAATGGTCTTTAGATCAAACAAATAATAACAATAATATGAAATTATATTATTACAAGCCATCTGTAAACCTGCCAGAAGTCTTAGAACTTCAGTACTATGCCAATTCTGTTCTGCCAGTCTTTCTAATAGAAAGCATTATTAGTAAGTTTTGTGATTTTATTATGTTATTTATAGTATCACTAAAAACTTTTACTATTCATTCAAGAATTTCTTTTTATATAATGTTTTTAAAAATCTTTAATTCTAGTCAATGCTGTCTATTCATTTGTTTCTGATGACACTATAAATAGAAATGAAGAAAATAACACTTATGTACAAAGGAGTAACATTCTGAAACAGTCTTTAGAATTGTGTAGCATAATGCAGTATGAGTTTATATTTTCCCCTGTAAGTTAGTTACCACCATTTTTCGAGTAACTTGTAAAAGTTAGAATGTAGTTTGATATCATTTCTCTTTTTTTAGCCTGGAACAAGTGTTTGTTCTGTTTTGAATGCAGCAATTGATGATCTGTTAGAAAACTCCTTATTGCAATTAAAAGATGTAAGCACACTTTTAAGCATTACATTGAGTGTATTCATATATAGTGCTCGATTTGAAATAGGTCCCTCATCACTTAACTCTAATGTAGTTATAGTACTCTAATGTATCAATGAAGTTTATGGTTTGTAACATCCAACAAGATAAAGATGGCGTTATCACATAAAATTTTTTATCATATATTTCTAGAAAAAGTAAATGTCAACTTATATGTAGAACACTATTAAATTTCTAGTTTTAAAGCTTTCTGAATTATATCTCTTTACGAATCAAGTCCCTTTCTTTTCCATTAATATCTCCCAGGTTAGGATTAGACTTCCATTTTTTAAATAAAGTATTATCATTAATTTAAATAAAAAATTTTATTGCAGGGCTTGTTACATCTATTCATTTTTTAAAAAAATAACATTTAAGGCTAGATTTCTTAATAAATTTTTTTTCTTGCTACCTGTAGCTAATTGTTTTTAGTTATTTTAAATGCTTAAGTGTTAGGGCTTGATTTTATCTAATAGAATTGTGAAATTCAAATTTGGATTTCCTTTTTCATGATTAACTTTTTCTGTTTTTATTATTTGCAGTTAAAAATGAACTATCAGGAATGTACGAAGAGATCTATTCTTTTATTGTTTTTATTTTTTGGGAAAAAGGAAGCTCATTAACAAAAACAACCTTAAAAACCAAATGTTATCAAAATCTTATTAAAGTTAAAAAATATGAAAGATAAAAAGGCTACAATATATTACTCTGACATTAAATTCTGTATTTAATCAAACCTACTCAATATTTATTATTCTATTCCTGATGGTATTTTTTTCCTTATAACATTCATTTATTCCTGTTATCGTTTTATTTTTCTGTAGTTGTATCAATGAGTATATGCTAAGAAGTTTCTTTCAAAGCAGTTTTAAATAGGCATATCAACACCTAAAACACACTACACATTAAAGTGTTTTCATTTATTTTTGTTTTAAAGCTCATCCTTTTCCTAAGTCATTCTTTTTAGCTTATGAATTTTTTTTTCCTGTGCTTAAGGTTAAATTCTTTTCCTACTATTTCTTTTGCAAAGTAATTCATTACTTTCGCATTGTTTTTAATTTATTTTGACAGCTTAGGGTATATAGTTTTATTGTTATAGAAGTTTTAAAATGAGAGTACAACTATGTCCAGTTTACTTTGCATATAAATGCTTTATTTGAAACACCAGGCAATTTCTATATGTTATAAAAAATATAGTGTTCAATATTAATTTTGTCTTCACCACAATAATTAAATAGCTTAAATTAATTTATTGCTTAAAATATTTTCTTGTTTGAATAATGTTGTTACTGTGAATAGAAATTTAGAGCTATAAAATTATTAAAGCTGTCTTTGTAAAGATCTCTGATGCTGGGCAGATATCTATGGGTACACCATTGACAGGCGGGATAAAGAAGCAAAATTAATGTTATGGTAGAAAGTCTTAATGTCATAACACTTCTTTTTTTGAATTTAGCTTGCAATTTTCTTCTTCAGATATATGAAATGTAAAGTTAAAGCATACTAGTAAAATTTATTAAATGATTTATTAGCTTTGCTCCTTCATTTTTTTAAATTTTTTATTATTATTATTTTAAAAATAAGAGTGGCTAATTGTCTTTATTTTTAATCAGTTTTTTGGCAAATTAATGATGCATATCTTAATTAAGTGTCAGACAAAATTCTGCCGACACAACTTATTAAAGTTAAAGTGGTAGCTGAAACATTCTAACAGAAAGTGGTAACAAATTTATCATTGAATTATAAATCTGCTATTGTTTCTTTCTTTCAAATTTTTCTTTTTTGTGACTCATTGTTTTCTAACAGTCCTTTAAAATTAGCATTTTAGATTAATGTGCTAGTTAAATCCTTGATCATTCTGGATCAATTAGTAAATTGCGGTAACTGAGTTACTTCTTACGAAGTTGAAACTTTGTTATGAATCTTATTTTAATTTTATAACTTTTTCAATTTTGCTTTAATTTATAAATAGTTATAGGTGAATATTGAAACTTTTGTAGTAATTACAATTGTTGGAACATAGACATTTTTCATCAAGCATTTACTTATGACAAAATATTTACTTTTTTGTTTTATCTGTTATGATCCCGTACTAAATATTGAATTTTTAAATCCAATTACTGTTACAGAACTCCAATATATGATGTTGCTCTTTTAAGTGCATTCTAATAAAATATTTTTTTTTATATCTATAGAAGTCTGTCATTGGTAACACTACTGATGCACTTCCTGATCTTATTGTTGATGACTTTTTCATTCATGGTGATAGACATGAGTTAAAACAGGAAATTACGGTAGGTGAAGTACATTTTTTAGTAATAAAAGTTTTTAGGAGAGATTTATTGAAAGAATATCATTAGATACCATAAAATAGGGTTTCTTTGTGAGAGGTGGAGTTACTTTAGAAAACTCACATTTTCTGGATTTAAGGGGCTTTTAGAGAAAACTGAATTAAAGATAATTGTTGCAGAATATTTTATCTATCTCAGGGGCAATATTAGGTTGTGAAATTGCTGAAATTTCTATGATACTTTATAAGGGTTGATCTACAAAACTTGTGTTTCTTTTGCTTCCTGTGATGAACTTTGTCAGATTTTATCTGAAGTACACATTTACACTGTTATTATCAATAAACTAAGTAAGCATTCAGATTTCTGGTATAATGAGCATATTTTATTTTTAAGTTTATTTTATATGTCATGAAAACTAATAATATTGCACATTGGGTTGTAACCAAGAATATTGCATGGCCAAGAATGGTATAGTTTGTTCACCAGGAGTTGCAACTTGGCTCCACTTCCTCGGATGCTGAGTTCATTTCAGCCTGGGAGTAATAGGAGAAATATCTCCACGCTTGAAATTGAGACCACCCTTGATGCGTACCATATGTAAACAGTGAATTCTATTTAACTTTCATTACTCTAGCTAATTAAATATATTTTAAATTTAAAAACTGCTGTTTTGCCTGTAAAATGTCTCAAAAAGGAAAAATTATTCACTTAAAAGAGAAATATCATCAAATTTATGAAATATCTAAGGTTAAAAAATGGCACATAAAGATTGTGGAATGAATATTTTTATCATACTATTGCCAAATAGCAACCATGTTCAGGATTGTTCACATCGTTCTCCCAAAAGTAGCGGAATATTATTCTTCGGATATCACGCGATGTAGGTGGAGCCAAGTACCAACTCCTGGTGAGCGAACTTTAGTTGTCATGACTGTGTAGGAAAACTGATATGGACAATGTTTTTTCTGATGTCAGAATACCAGTAGAAGTGGTAAAGAGATCAGTGCACTGAAATAGTCTGAGCCATGGGCGGATCGTGAATTTGTGGGGCCCTGGGCTGAAACTACTTTGGGGCCCTAATAGCCATTTTGTCAAAAAACTGTTTTCTATAGTGATGTAGATAAGTATATAGAAAAAAATAGGACAATAAAATAATTTTATTTATTTTTTTATTTACTTATTTTTATTTGTCTATACAAACAGCAACTGTACAACATTATTGCAAAAGAAATTGACAGGTTATGTGTAGTTATGTTATATAAATTATAAAGCAACCTTTCTGCATTTTTGTGCTGCAAATTCCTTTATTTGCTCATCACATTGTAAGTCCTTCGTTAAATCACAATTTATGGAAAGAACTGATAAATGATTTAGTCGATGGTTCGACATTGTTGTCCTATATTTGTTTTCTATATATGACATCCTGGAGAAAGAGCGCTCAGCTTCACAGCTAGTGATTGGCAAAGTTAAAAAAATCCTTAAGATAGTGTAGCAATTTGGGAAAACATCAACAAATTTCTTTTCATAAATTAGCATAAAAATTTCACTGCAAGAGGTGTAAGACTCTGGCTTAGACTGAAGTAAATAAGATTTTAACTGAATGCACTCATTCACTAAATGCTCGTCTACGTCATCTGGATAATAATCAACAATATTACGTACACTTTCCAGATCTATGTTTTCCATATTTTTGTCTTGCAAATCCATTAAAAATTTGAATTTCTTGCTATACATCTCATAGACTTGGCTCCTTTTATTTAAATCCATAATCAGCTTATCCAACGCAACGTTTAGCGTGTCTCTTTTAAATTTTTCTGCGCCGTATACTGAGAATTTATCTGTAGACTTATCTGAAAATTTTGGAGTAATGCGTCTCTTGTTTATGTCATTGTAGTCTATTCCCACACTAGTACTTAATTTTTTAGCTTTCTCTTCGTATTCCTTTAGCTTCTGATCTGATTGGTGCCTTATGTTGTTCACGAAGTCTTTTAATGATACAATTAACTTGTTGCCTTCACGAATAACTTGTTGCCTTCACGTGTCAACCACACTAACATTGATTTCTTATGTTCATTAGAATTTTCATGATTTTCTAAACAAGTTCCTATGTGTTTCCAATCAGAAAATCCGGTTGTGTATTGAGAAGAAATTTTAGAAAAAAGTTTGCAAGTCAAACAAAAAACAGTACCAACCCTGATTGAATAACATAACCAAGATCTTTCCAATGATTGACCATTTTTCATTTTCTTAATGAAATACCTATTTGAAAATGTTCTGTTTTGTTCTTTGCATTTCTATATTGAAGCTGAATATATATTTTTCGGATCTTTATTTTGAAAGTCAGTCATTTCATGTGAGAGTATGTCATTAATAAAATCATTATTTAGCAATTCTGACCACAAGCCCACGTCAACATATTTCTCAAACTTAATATTCTCTAAATTTCTTTCCGCCTCGGTATTACCGTCCTCTTGCTGAACACCAATATAGTTTTCAGTGGGATCAGGGGGTTTCTGGTAGTCAAGACAGTTATTAGTAAACTAAACAAGTTTGTCACTTTGACGACGAGAACAGAAGTGTGGGAAAAAAACAAAATTGCATCGGGCGTTAAGCGGCGCTGCGGGAAGTCCCCCATAATAGACGCGAAAAAATACACTGACCAAAAACAAGCGACGGGTAATTCCCTGTTCCGTTCGATAGACGCGCACATGCATGGGTTGATTGATCTCAGGGTTGCCTACCTTATAATATATATTTTTTTTAATATTAGATATTTTTTTTAATTCAAAATATCACATATTGTTTCCAGTGGGGACTGGGGCCCTTTATATCCACGGGGCCCTGGGCTGCAGCCCAAAAAGCCCTTAAGTAGATCCGCCCCTGGTCTGAGCTGATGATGAAACAACAAGAATTAATAATATTTTGCTTTGTACTGTGTTGTTCACTATTTTTACAAACTACTTAAAGAGGATGCTTGCATATATCAATGAGTTTGAAGATGTACCTATTTTTGTTAAATCCAAAGAGAGATAATATATTGGACATAGTGCAACCATTAATTTTGTCTGGTACGTAAGAAATGAAATGACAAAAAATTCCCCTTTTCAGCAAAATTTCTAATAATTCGTTTGATACTGATTTTAAAATTTAATTATAAAAAATAGCAATATAAATTATAATTATTGAATCTATAATACTAATAAAATTAATTACGATATTCAGTCTGAAGTAATCAGGTTTTTTTCCCAATTGTTTTGTGACCACCCTGATGATGATAATGATAAATATCCCTCTGATCTGAATTAGATCAGATTCATGAGTTCTTTCACCTTAAAATATTTCCATGACATACAAAGGTCTCTTCAGAAGAGCCTTGCATACTGAGTTAACACAGTTAATCAGATGTTGCAAAATGGCTTTTGCTTTACTGCTTTTGGTGCAAACTGCAAATTTTTTAGCACCATGGGAACATCTGAGGGTTTTTAAATGTTCAGTAGACAGTTTAGTTAAAGCAGTTTAATCTCTCCTGTCACTTTTGTCGTATTGAAGCACCAGGACTCTTACTAAGATATCATGGATGTGGTGATGGTTGTTTACTAGTGGTATTTATAGAAGCCTTACTTCTTGAGTATAGCTCAAGGTACGTCAGAGGTTCAATACTAACCTGAATCATAGAAGCGCCATCATTCCCTAGGTCATCAGCAAGATCATATTTTAAATTCGCGTAGGACGAAATCCATTGTAGATGAAGCATAAAAGAACCAGACAAGATCTTGAATTTCTCTATAATTCTAATTCACTTTTGGTCCCTAATAAATCTTCAATTTTATGGATATTGAATTGCATTTAGACTATCTGATAGAATCCAGATTTTTTCAGTCAAATGTTGCTCATAAACACAATCTAGTGCCATGTCCATAGCAATCAATTCAGTGTAGAAAACAGAGCAGTGATCAGTATTCATGTGTTTAAGAAATATCTCCACTTCAGGGTGAACTATTTGCAATAGTTGATAAACCTGTTCAGACTGAATATCATAATCAATGATAATAAACCTGTTTTTCTCCATGGTTTTGAATGGAAAAGTAGAGCTGCATAGATGACAACTGTAAACACTTAAACAATATGCTTAGAGATCAAACACTAAAATATACTGTTTTCTGATTAGCTTGTGTAGAAAGTTTAGCTTCATTATTTTGTTGTTGCAAAAGGTTCAGGAGATACATACATTTAGGTTTTGATTGCTTAAAATGTATGACAAAAATATTAATAAAAAAGCTACTAGGTAAAGAGCTGAAAATTCACTTAGCAATCATTCTCAATCCTATTGTAGTCAAGGAAATTCTTAAAGCACCTAAATGGAATGTGTTGTCAATTCTGCTATATTTCTAGATGTTTTTCCTATAGGCTGTAATTTGTTACATTCATTCAGAGTAGCTTTTCTGGAAAGCAAATCTTATCTTTTAATGTTTGTAATATTTGGTTGCATTAAATCTACGAGACATTTTACTTCCGATATAGACTACTTTGACTACTTCCGATATAGACTACTTTGACAGGCCAATTGTTTCAATTTTGTTTTTTAAAAAGTAATTGAACTAAAAAAAATGAAAAGTAAAATTTTTTTTAATTTTTAACATTAAATATTATATTTAAATTTTTATTTAATATTGCATTTAATTTGATTTTTAGTTTAGTACAGATCATGAAAACCTCAGCAATGTTCATTTTCTACGCTGCATTTTATCCCCATTCATTGAATCTTACTTCATAGTGGCCTCATCACTGCCCAAACTTGTTGATTCTGAATTAGAAGGTACTAATTGTTTCTATTAAGTTTATTAATTACTATTGTTTCTTTGTTCTTTATCTAATTATTTAAATACTTTTGTAGAGACATCATTACTTCAAGAAATCAAGAGCTTAGGTTCCAAACAAATTCACATTGGACAAATTTGTCATGGTAAGTTTAAATTTCTCTTAATTTATTATTGAATGCTTATAATTTAGAACCATTAATTTTTATAACTAGTTGAAAATAAGATAACTGCTGTTAAATATTATCTAATATATGAATTCAAAATTTATTTTTGAAATCAATTTCATAAAAAGATTAGAAAATTGTTTAAGGAGATGTTATTACGATAGCATTACCAGGTAGGTTATGACATGAATCAGATCTGGACAATTCCATGGTAACTAACATTTAATTTTGCCGACCAGCTGGCCGAGTGGTTAGCGTGTGTTTGACTGCAGAGCCATTGGCCGTGGGTTCGAATCCTGCTCAGGGCATGGATGTCTCTTTCTCTCTGTGTTCTATGTCCTTTCCTCTTTGTGTGAATGTGACCTGCCCTATAAACGGGTTTGTAGTTGTGTGACGTGGGCGACGCTGCTCCACGGCCGTGGTTTCGCTACAGGTTCCCACTGAGTAACCAGAAGAAAGTAGCAGTTCTGGCATTTCTGTCGCCAATGGGACAAACCCCAAATGCCCGCCATTAAAAAAAAAAAACATTTCACTTTGATAGGTTTTCTTAGTTGTAAACTTTTTTCTTAATTGATATATATTTAATAATTTTTAAAAAAAAATAATTATGTGGGATGTTTATTCTATAGCCTAATATTATGTGTATACGAAAAAGGAGATAATTATAAGTGTTCTATTTAGAATAAAAATATAAAATGTGACTGATGTTACATAGAAAGGACACGAAGTAAAACATATTTTTACTTTGAAATTTTTCTTCTTCTTTAAGCAATAATTGGTTTATATTTTAAAATTAATTTTAGAAAACTTCAAGTTAGCATGGAACATTGAAAGTACACATAAAATGATCTATAGGAAGTGTCAAATAGATAAAAAGCTAATGATTGATGCTGCAGTTTTTATGTGACTGACGTTACTTATCAAACTATATTAAAATTTTAATAAACTTTTTTTTATTTTTAGAAAATACTTAAAATTTAAAATTTTTGATTTTATATCTAAAATAGTTACCAAAAACTAAGAAATTAGTAAACTGAGGGATGCTATTAAATCTTTATTTTTTTTGCTATGTTGTCCTTTGTATCATGGAACTGCCCATTTATGTGCAATCTTAAGTAATTAAAAAAAAAAAAAAATTGTGTAGCACAAAGCTCTTGTTTTAATCATATCTATTGTTGTTTTAAATTTTTATCCTTAAAAAATGCATCTATGCTAATCACTCTCAAAATACTCAAAAAAGCAAATTACAAAATGCTTTTTGAGAGTGTTTAAATGGAACAAATTTGTATTACATTAAATATATCATGTTTATAACTATGCTTAAGTTTCTCTAATGAGGCTATATGTTTCCAGAAGTCAGTGGGGGTGTTGATTTCCGTCTGAATTCAATTCCCATTTCACAAAATGTATGAACTATTTCAATCTGAAAAATTTTATGTAATGAAAGTCTGCTTTTTTTTCCACTTTAGTCAAAAAATTATGTAGCCATACTGTTATATAGTTATAGTATTTTGCTACTTAGTCATATTTGTAGAAAAAATTCCATGTAGCACAGTTTCATCGCTAAAAAGAAAACAAATTATCTATCTTTGCCCAGAGTTGAGTTTGGAGTTAAATTTAAATTCTTTTTGTTTTTTCCTAGATTATTTTTATTATCTCATTATTTTGTGGACATAAAATAATGTGTGTCATTGCTATCAAAATTTCTTACACATTTTTCTAAAAATATACTCTTCAGTACTTTTACTGAATTAAATAAATCTGTTCAGTAAATATTTTTTAAATTGAATTGATTGCAATCAACTATAACTTGTCTAAATCAATGAATTAATTTTATATCGCTAATTGCTTTTTAAAAGCCTTAAAACTAGATGAAATGTAAATGCGTTATTTTTTTAAATTAATGACTTATGAACTTTTTTCTACCTTCTTATATTTCAGTCACATATCTATTATACTTATAAAACATATTTTGCTTTCATTTCAGATGAATGCTTAGGTTTGGACACATTGAGAAATGCCCTGAAATTGTTTGAAAGTTGGAAAGTTATTGATGTTAGATCACATGGTTCACAAAAACTCTATTCACTTCATCGATATTATAATGACACACACAGAATTGATGATATTATTGTGAGGATAAGGAAATTTATGCATTAAAAGTAGGCAATTCTTGAAGAAAAGCATCAAAGAAATGAATTATTGATGCCAAATTTTTTTATTGAACTTTTCAATTTTTGCCATTTTGTAACTCACAAGATGAACAATTGTGGTTTTTGATACTTATTGTATTGAATGAATATATTTTGTGAAGAGGCTTGTAAATCAATATTTTTTGAAATGTGTTTAAAACTAAATTTACCCGTTTTTTAACTGACTGTAACATTTGAGTGTGTGTGTATGTGTAATGTATGAAGTGCCATTTTCTTGCATCAAGAAAATGTATAAAATCTATTTTCTGGGTGTAAGTTCCAACATCTTTGTTATGTCATATTTATTGTTAATAAATACTTTTAAATGCGTTTTTTACGTTTTGATGTGCTTAGTTCTCATAAAATGACTTTCTTATAAAATTTAGATTTCCTTGCATTTTTTTCTGCTGTTTCAGTAAAATCATAAAATGTTTTCTTTCTTGCACTTGATTTTCAATCACAAGAAATCGGCGATATATTATAGGTGAAAGATTAAGTAAAAAGAAAAAAATATGCAACAGTTGAGCTGCCAACTTATATATGCATTTTTGTCGGATTTCATTTTTGTATTTAAAGTGGCAAAAATCATACCTTTCTTTTTTTTAATCTGTAATTTATAAATTTGAATTTAAATGATTAAATCACTCTAGATAAATAAATGTAACATAAATGCATGGTAATCATGTTATGTTTTTGTTGAAGCTGTGGCAAAACAAAACATTTTGCCTACATTTGTAATTCAATAATTATTTTACTACGAATTGGGAAAATCATTCTCAGAAAGAGTTGGTAAATGTGCACTTAAGTCCAATGTGATTTACTATCCTCATAAATTTGTATTAGTAAATTTAAATGTTTGAAATATGAAAAGGTGACTATGATATCTTTAAAACATTTTGAGGACATTGGTGCTTAATAAAGCTCTTTGAACTACTTCAATGATATTTTAAGGCATAAGTCATTTTTCGGTGATTTTGTATGGGAAATACTAAAATAAAAATCAGACACTGAAGTTAAAAAATGAAAAATGCCAAAACTTCAGTTTGCGCATATTCTTTGTTTAAGGAGAACTAATAATGGAAGTAAACATAAAGCCTTAATGTGTATAGCCAAAATTATGTACATCTGTTGGTACTTTGCTGAATCAGAGATTCTTTTTTTACCTACCAGTGATCAGGTAAACTCTACTCATAACATAAGCGTTCATCAACCAAAGGTACTGCAAATCAACGGTAGTTTTGTTTTACTTTCGGTATTGGTTCTCGTTGAATGGAATAGGAAAATATTTAGTAGTCTTGCACAGAGCATTTGCCCATCATGGAGATTTAAAGCTCATGTGAATTTTCCTTTGTTTTTAAATAGCACATTTTGCATTAAGTTGCATTTTACTATTATCCAGAGGACAATGTCACATATTTAATTATCTAGCTTGACTATCAAATGTTAACTTTGCACATAGGCAGCATATTTAGTTCTCACTATACAGATTCAAAATGAGGCAAAAATGCATTTACCACTAAATATATTCTGCATGAATGTGCAATTTTCTCAGGAGTAAACAAGACAGATTAAAACAAAACATACTCTGATTATTATTAATAGTTAGTTCTATGAATGTATAATTTTTCTTATTACTCAATTCACATGAATTGAGTCAATCAAATAACACAACTATCACATGTCTTAGAATGATTTAGGATGTAGTTTGGAATTAGTTTGAGAGAATGGAATGAGATATTTGTCTGAAGGAGTTTGCATCCATTACCTGTACCGGTTCTGTTTAAATCAAAAACAAGTTCTTTCACTGATGTTGTTTGTTCACTGATAATTTCTTTTACAGCTCACTTTTTTTACTCGCTTATTTTGCTGACTGCTTATTTTCTGACACAATTGTTTATTTAATGAGACTACATGGACATAAGTACTGCAGTCGTGGGATTAATATTCTTGAAATGATTTTGAAATATTTGTGTTAGAGTTAAAGACGGTTATACAATTAGAGAAGTATTAAATATATTTTGACAATATGGATGGATTCAAATGTGACAAACATTCAGGATCATCTGCTTGTAATTTAAAAAATAATATTTAATTTTATTAATTCTTTCGCAGTTAATGAAACAACTAAGTTATAATGCAGGTAGGACGATAAAATTTTGAAATAAGTATTGAGTTTTCAGAATTTAATAGGTTTTCATGTGGATGTTTTAAGGAGAAATGATCTTGCCAGTTAAGTGTAGTGATTTTTTTACTAGCATCCTCGAACAGCTGATTCATATGATATTCACAATTAATGTTCAACTCCATATCTGTGCAATTTTGGGATTTACCCAGAAGACGAGAATTTGAATATGATTCTTTCCAAGAAAATACTGGGTAAAGCGCAATTTCTTACTCATTATTCTCTGATATTTTTAAAATGTTAGTAAAGGCATTTTTTTATTTTATTAAAAAAGCTTATTTTTTCATATGAAGGATTGGGGGCAAGTTCCATTTTCAAATTGTTTAAGAGGAAATACTCTAAGTTCGATTCGCGTATGCAAACGCCCATCAATGCGATTCCCGAATGCCTGCACAGTTTGTCTTACATGTAGTTTCTATACATTTGCATTTATCGACAATTATTTCTCTGATGAAGTAATAGCGCTGCAAACACTGAACACAGGATAACTTAATTAGTGAGTTTTTCATGGGAGAATATATTTCATCAACCAGGTTGCTGTAAGTCCGTTTAGGGAAAATAAATTAGACCAGTCAGATCGCTATAAGTTAATTCTCTTTCGAAGGTGCGTGAGTTGCATGCAGTGCTGAAAACAGCCCTTTAAGATGCTTCAAAGTTTTGAACCGTGCTGTTATCTACTGGAAATTACGAATGCATGTAAAGTACCTATGTGGAAAAAATACTAAGAAATAGATATGACAAAGTCTCCTTTCAATAAACTGTAATTAACACTAAAGGAAAGGTGTTCTAAATGGGATACTGAAAGTTATTTTGACAAATAACACTGACACTAAAAGGAAAAGTAATCTTATTTTTACAATCTTTGCAGTTATTCCGTTGAATCTGAATTAGAATGATAGATTTCAAAGATGTAGAATGTAGATCAGGAAAACATTTCCTGCTGCATATTCTTGTGACGATATGCATACATTTTTTAAAATCTAGATTTCCTGGTTTTATTTCAAAGTTTCCCTAAAGATGGCGCTGTATGTCCTTTCTAACACTTTTTCCATTACGATTTCTTCGATTACGACTTGCGATTAGGGCTGAGGATGGGATTCCCTAAAGTTTCGTAATGCCATTTTTATTCACTGAAAAATTTCAAAAAACTATGATATGATTTTTAGCTGTTTTCTTTTATTTAGAAGTCAAATTTAGGACACTGTGTAAATAATACTAGGTTCTAATCAGTGTGTTCAGTGAAAGTATGCTTCTCGTTTTGCATTATATCGAGATTCTCTTTTTTGGCCCCTTACAAGCAGACATGCAAAACAGAGAAGCCTAAGTAACAAATCGCGCTGAATATAGTTCTACTCCTTCATGCAATTTTTTTTTAAAAATTAAAGTAAAACTGTCATATATCAATATCAGCAAGTGAATTTAACAAATAAATTATCCAATAAAAATACACTTACAGTAACAAATAAAGTAATAAATCTTGAGAACGTAATATCGGTCTGTGATTCTGCAAGAAGTACAGTCGCATGATTCTATATAGCGAACTTCCATTTTGCGAATTTCTCTATTTTGCGATTTTTTTCCGAGGAACCAAGAACATTTTGGAAATTTCTTCATAAAATAACTTCCAAATAGCGAAGTGAATTTTCTATTTAACGAACTTTTCTTAGCGATCCGTTTTCCCTATTTCCCAAAATATAACTTGTTAACGTATTTTATGGGGGAAATGGACATGAATTGATTTTCGAAGCCACTTAACCACAGAAAGCAGTAAAATCCCTTTCCCTTTTTGTTTGCATTTCAAACGAAACTACTGATAAAAACGAATTAACGGATTTTATTAGTAGCAATTAAACTTAAGAATGCATGTGGTAATGTACGCTTAAAATTACTCTTATAATAAATGCGGCTATAATTTTATCCATAAATTTAGTTTTTTTTAGTTGAAAATGTATGTAGCATGATAGTACATATAACACTGGATAATGCTTTGCTCTATTCTTGTTTTCCATGCAGATTTCTTTTATGGAAGATTTATAAATTAAATAGTAGATACTAGCTTACAAGGTAAAGTCGTATCAATTTCTATTTTAATTATGTCTGGTGTTTATGAATTTAAAACCTATTTTGTATTGTTTAAGTATTTTTAAAGATGATTTTCTATTTAACGAATTTTCCATATAACGAACTTATCGGGATTTAGTGACTTCGTTAAATAGAGATCCAACTGTATTTCATATGGATGTAAATGAACACCAAACATATAAAGCTCAACCTATAGCAATTACATGCAGGCAGAAACTATGTATCTATAAGCGGGATTATCAAAAATTCCATTTACACTACAATTCTATTTTCATATAATTGTCATGCCATCTAAAAGAAAAGATAAAATTTAGAAAGAAAATAAACCATTTCAAAGGAAATATGGTCAAAATATGTTTCTTTATAAGTTCAAAGAAAATATTTCATTCACTACCTAATACCAAACGTTATATACATTGCAATATTATGTTACAGAAATATTTTTGTTTTTGTAAGGCATGTAAATTATGTTATGTTTTTGGAAGCTAAGAAAAAAAAAAATATTTGTGAAATTTATACTTCAAAATATTATAAAAAAAGTATTAGATTAAAATATTTACCAAAAAATATTTATGGAAAAGATATTTTGAAAAAATACTATAGACTTTGAAATTAATTATGAGCACGTAGAAATTCTGTTCTGTTTTTAAGGTTGGAAAATATGTATGTAATGGTAAATATGTGTTGATTTTAATATAGTCTACAACTTTGGAAGCGAAAAAACATTTACGAAATGTAAATGTATGATTATGTCGTGTAGTAATTAATTAACCCCACACTCGAGGCCTGATTTATCACAAGGCCTGCTAGGCCAGAGCTTAGGGCCCCACATGGCGTTTTTCCTAAAAAATTGTTCATTAGAATTATGCCTTAGCAAAAATTGAAATAAGGAAATCTCAAATTTACTAAATCATAGTTTACTTATGTTGTAAAAAGTTCAAAAGCATTTTTTGCTTGTAAATTTTAAGACCGATGGGGCCTCCAACTGTTATGTGCCTTTGGGGATTTCTAAAGCAAGATAGGACCACACTACAATTCGTTTTGACACATGTTTTGTAATAATGTTAT